CGGTTCCTGACCCGCTGGTTCCTATCCGGTTCCAATTCCAGGTACCCGGAATTTTTGCTCACCCCTACTAAGAACACTAGGTATACATTTCAAAGCATCAGCTATACTGGGCTGTCAACTAAAAAGGCCAGGCCCAATTCTCACATGACCAAAGCATTTTCCATACTAAATTATGAAAATTTTACCCTACACCCTAGTGTAGGGTGTGTTCCCTACACCCCCCTATGCTACGTCGTTCTGTAGCTGGTATTGAGTTCTCATGTGCAGCTTCTTTCCTTTTGCGATTCTTTCCTTTTTCTTTTTTTTCCTTTTTTTCTTTTTTTCTTTTCTTCCTCTTTTTTCCTTTTTTCTTTGTTTCTTATTATTCAAGTTATGTATATATATGATTTTAAACCCTATTTTTTCTCTCTCTTCAATTGATCAACCTCCATTTTTTATCTACATTTTTCTCTCGCTAATTCATCTTCTTCATTTGATTTTTTGAACGAACTCGTTAATTGTTACCGATCATCAATGGCGAATTTTGCATCTGGAGATTGCGTTGATTTTGATCGTGATTGCGAGCGTGTGTTTCCTTCTGGAGTTCGTTTGGTTGATTCGTTTGTGCAACAATGTGAGTAATTGTGATCATAATTTTGCAATTTTTAATTATCTCTAATTTGTTCTGTTATAATGCTCTGTTAATTTGAACTTAATTGATGTATTATTATTCACTTTCGATTTTTGAATTTACTACTTTGATTACATTATGATGAACGTTTTTGGATTGTTATACTTTGTATGAACATTTTGTTGCTTCATTTGTTGTTTTCTCTGTGTTTTAGAATTGTGTGTTTTTGTCGTATATTTTGTAGATTATACTTTCAATTAATCGTTTATGTTTTCTTATTCATACTTACTAATGTGTTTATGTTCAGTCTTAAAGTCATTTTTGATCATTTATTTTTACATTTTTATATCGATATTATGTGTAGTGGTAAATAATGAAAATATTGTTCAAAATATTATGTGCTGAAATTCTTTTTGCAATTGATCATGTGCTGTTTTGATATTGAACATTTTACTTATTTGTTATTGTTCATTCATGAAACTCTTTATGATCATTTATAATTGTATATTGTGCAGTGGAAAAAAATGATGATATTATGTATTTAGAAGCAGAACAGTCTGAATTAAAGGATAAAGAATTTAAATCTGAAGATGAAGCTTTCGAAGCGTATAATGAATATGCTTTTAGGAAAGGTTTTGGAATTCGAATTGGGAAGAGTAAGAGAAGAAGAGATGATTCTTTTTTGATGAAAAGATTTGTTTGTTGTAATGAGGGATTCAAAGATAATAAGTGTAAGAATAAAAGGATTTATGAGAAGTTGGGTCATCGAACTGGTTGTTTAGCTTTTGTGCAGTTTCATATTGATCATTTAGGGGTCTATACATGTACAAGACATGAAATGGTTCATAATCATACTATGATTCCTCCTGAAAAAAGGCATTTGATAAGGTCTCAAAGAGATGTGAATAAAGAGCAGCTTCTTTTCATTTCAACAATGAAATTGAGTGGAGTCAAAGTTACTGATTCTTTGAGGGTTCTAAAGAAGGAGGTTGGGGGATCTCCTAATCTTTGTTTTACTGCTTTTGATGCTTATAATGCATTGTCATCTGAAAAAGCTGCCCAAATTGAAGGATGTGATAGTAACCAATTGATTAAATATTTTGCCAAGAGACATGTGGATGAGGCAGATTTTTATTATGATTTTGAACAAGATGATAGTGGTGCTTTAGTTAGTTTTTTTGGCGTGATGGTAGGATGATGAGAGATTATCATTACTTTGGAGATTTGTTGGTTTTTGATACAACTTATAGAACTAATAAATATGGAATGATATGTGCTCCATTTGTTGGGATGAACCATCATGGTAACAATGTCATGTTTGGTATGGGTTTTATTCTTAATGAGCGCACCGAGTCTTTTGATTGGTTGTTTGATACATTTTTGCACTCAATGGGGAGGAAAAGTCCCATTACAATTATGACTGATCAAGCACAAGCAATTGCAGCGGGTATAAGAAACATTTTTCCTTCAACTGTTCATCATCGTTTATGTGTATGGCATCTTGAACAAAATTCTAAGAAACACATTGGAGCATTGAGAGCTTTGGAAGGCTTTACAAATTTGTTTGGATATCTTTTGAAGTATTGTGAAACTCCTGCTGAATTTGAATATTTCTGGAAAAGGTAAATTATTGTTTTTTGTATTTATTTTTTATTTTTATTATGTGATATATTTGATTATTATGTGATATATATATGAACATTTAGTGTTTTACATATGATCATACAATTTACTTTGTTATGTATGTTATCATAATATTATTAGTGTCCATATTGTTTATGATCATTATTCTTTATACAATGTACATATTTTAATTTATATTTTGTTCATTTTTAAATTAATATATGATCATTTCTGTTATACAGGATGTGTGATAAATACAAATGTGAAAATGATGATTGGTTATGTGATTTGTATAAAATAAAGGAAATGTGGTGTCCTGCTTATTCTAAGAAGTATTGGTCTGGTGGTATATTATCTTCTCAACGTAGTGAAACTACTAATAAGTCAGTTTCACAACGTCTTAATAAGACTCAAGGTTTATGTGATTTTTATCATGTTTTTCTTGATGTCATTTCTGAGTGGAGAAGTAAGGAAGGTGCAAGAGATTACAATACTCTGAGGGGTAATAGGCACCTAGCTTTTGCTAACATTGGTATATTAGTTCATGCAAGATCATTGTACACTATTCAAGCTTATGTGCTTTTTGAAGAGGAGTTCATTAGGGGGACAACTTATGATCATGTTGATAATGGTTTGCGTTTTCCAGAATATTCATATCTTCTTTGGAGGCCTGGGAAGGATATAATTAAGCATGAAGTTATTTTTAATAAGGAAACACATGCAATTTGTTGCACATGCATGTACTTTAGTGAGACTGGTTTACTTTGTTCTCATTCTCTTCGAGTATATCATTTGCATTGTGTGCGTAATATTCCACAAGAGTATATAATGAAACGATGGACAAAGGCTGCCATGTGTAGTCATGGTATTGAAGAACCTACTTTGAGGACAAATGTTGTGGATACTAGTGTTTGGAGGTCACAAACAATCAGAAAGTTTGTTAAGTTGATAACAAGTTGTCAGAATTCTTTGAATGCAAGGGCAGAGGTTGAGTGTTATTTCAATCTGTTAAAAGAACAGGTTGAGAGTGTATCAGGTGTAATTGACTTTAGTGAACCTGTTAAAGAGGTTGAAATTGTTGATCTTGAGATCAAGAATCCTCCAAAAGCTAGGCCTAAAGGTGAGAGGAATGTAAGGCCTAAGAGTACCTTGGAGAAGCAGTGTAACAAGGCAAAGGGTAATTTCAAGAGGAAAAAGTCTCTGTACACTCCTTACAAAAGGGGTATAGGGCAAGCAGTTGTACAGGTATATGATCATTTCATATTTTCAAATTGATCATTTCAGTTTTCGTAAATGATCATTTATGTTTTTTTTTAAATAGGAACTTGATGAGAACGGTTGTGCTGTTACTTATGCTAATTCTATTAGTGATCCCATTGAATTGATTGTTTTGAGCAATAAACGGGCTCAGGTAAATTCAATTGTGCCAAAAAAACATTTTATTTATATTTTATTAATATTGATTTTTATAATTTAAAAATATAGGTCGGCTTAAAATCAGCTGTTGTAGAAGAAATTCCTTCTAGTTCTAAGGAATCAAATCATAGTATTTCCAATGATTTTGATCAGGTATGTTTGTTTGTTATTGATTATAAATTTATTTTATTTTTTGGCATTTATGATCTATATTATAATTTTTTTTTATTTAATTTTTAATTTTTTATATTTTTTTTTGGTTTTTTTGTAGGCTACTGGTGAAAGCTCTCTTTCATCTATCATATCTATTGATGTTGATATTTCATCTATTGCTAAGGTTTTTTTTTCCATATTTGTTTGAATAAGTGTTTGTAACTGATCATATACTGGTTTATTAATGATCAATTTAATTTTTTTTAAAGGCGAAGGATTTAAATCTTGAAGGTGTTTCTGCTGTTCAAGCTCGTTCTAATGTTGGTGCAAATAAAGGTGCTTCTGGTGTTAAAACTTACTCTCAAATTAATCCAAGAGTTCCAATTCATACTAGTGCGTCAACAAAATCTCCTGTTGTTATTCAACCTACTGTTCCCAGGAATGTTCAAAATCAAACTCAGAATTGTTCAAACACCAATCCAGAAATGATCATATCCAACTCCAGCAATGTTCAATCAACAAATGTTCAAGTTATTTCTCCTACGGTTCAAATAAATGATCAAGGATTTCGTGTTCAGAATGTTCAAGTTACTCCTCCCACAGTTCAAAGAAATGATCAAGGTGCTCGTGTTCCAATTCTTCAATCAAGAAATGTTCAATTAGGTTCTAAAAAGATTTCTTCTAAGTATGATAGGTTGTTAGCCTTTTTTGATACAAGTGTAGCTAAACGTTTGGCTAATAAAGATAAATAATTAGTATTCCAGAACTTTATAAACATTAGACTTTTTTGTAATGTTGATTTAATTACTATTTTGTAATTTTGAATTTTCGATCTATTATGTAAAAGACATAAATATTATATTTTATATAGTACTATTTTTAGTATATTTGAACTTTATATTAGAATTTTATATGTTTTTAAAATTATACATTTATCAATGATTATTTAGTCATTAGAATTTTATATGTTTTAAAATTCTACATTTATCAATGATTATTTAGTCATTTGTATATGAACAAAAGTAAGAACCAACATCCAATTTATAAAACTTATAAAAAACTTTCATTCAAAGATTAAAATGAAATATCAATTACAATAATATTAAAATAAAATATAAAAAACTTTCATTCAAAGATTAAAATGAAATATCAATTACAATAATATTAAAATAAAATCCATAAGTCTATTTCTTAAAAAAAAAATAGTCATATATAAGAAATGAACATATACATAGTTGTAAATGAACATTTGAAACTACAAAGTTGCAAATTTTCTAGCTTTCCTTCTATTTGCTCTTGATTCAGTGTTTTCTTCAAATAACATCAGTTCTGCTATGTATTGGAGCCTTAGATTTCTAATTTGTTCCACTTGTTGAACAAAATGAATTGTCAAATTTTAATTAAACAATCTTTACTGTTTCATAAATGAATATTATATCTTAAATAATTGATCATTTATAACTCTTACATTGTTTGGTTTTAAATCACAAATCCAGCTCTCATTAGGATCAGCAGTGAAGGTTTCCATATGCTTCATAATGTAAACTCCACAGTTTGTATAGTCATTGTTGCTACGCCATTTCATCTTTTCCAAAACAATTGTGTAGTCTTCAATTCTTTTTGCATCTTGATATCCAAGGTGTTTCATATACTCTGCCAATCCTTTTAACTGATAGAAAAAAGAGTAAAAATTGTTTAGAAGTTTGTATTGTGATGAAGACATGAACAATTAATAAAATATAATTGATCATGTAGCCAACTATAAATGAACATATTATCTCACCATCATTTTTGGTTGTTCTTCATATTTTGCTTGGACTGATACCTTTTTTGGTAGTTTTCTATTGTCAATTATATGAATTTTGTCTTCTATATGATTGACGCACAACAGAAAAAAATGTTGAGAAGTTGATACTGGGAAGAAGACCTGAACAAATTATATAATGTTATTGGACAATATATTGAATGTAATTGAACATTTGTATCAAACAAGAATTAATACCTGTTTATATCCAACAATGCTGTCAATTTTATTCAACTTCAGTTCATTGTCAATTCTTTCTATGAAGGCATTAATTCTTGTCTTCATTGATGATCCTTCTCGACAAACTCTATTTGTGCACATAATGTGCTGTTGAAATAGAAACAAACATATAGAAGTTAAATGAATTTTTAGCAATTATTTATCATAGGAAAATAGAATCAATAATATAAAAAAAGAAGAAAGACTAACATGAAGCACTGTTGAGAAATAAATCTTGTTTCTCGGCTTTTTATGATTAAGAAACCTTGCCCATCCATCTATGACACAATTTGTCACTTCAACATCATCTCCAAGAGTTTTCATTTCATTTCTATTGATGAGATTCAAGCCATCATAGTATAAGAGTGCACTGCATTATGAACATTTAATAATATGATTGTGAACATATTTTTATAAAAGATATTAAACCTTAAGTTTAATTAGTGTAAGTAATTATCTTTCATCTTTTCCACCAAGAGCAAAGTCTACTGCAATTTGGTTCATGGCTTTCTCATCTTTAAACAGATCCTTGTACTTGACCAAGTAAGGAGATCGGAAAGCAGGAGGAATTGTTTGCTTTTCGCGTTTTGGTCTTGTTGTTCAATATAAAATATTGTTAAATTAAGAAAATTATGAGGAACATAAATGAACATTTGAGTGTATATAAATAAATTTGAAATTATACCTTTCAACCTTTTTCTTTTCAGTTTTTTTCTTCTTTTCTGCAATTGACTTTTTCTTATCATCATTCCTGGTCATATTACATAACACAAATATATATTTAGGTATATGAAAATGTTCATTATTATTTTTGAACATTTACTTAATATAAATAATGTACCTTTTTGTGACTTTTGAGGATGAAGCAACAATCTTCTTGTTTTCACTGAAAAGTCAAACAATGTCAGTACATATTAATAAAATATAAGCTTCTTATGTAACACCCTGAATCATTTTCAATTCATAAAATGAAAGATATTGATTTAACATAAACCACACATTCATATTACATATTCAACAAAATAATGTACACACATACAATAGTTTGAGAAACTCCAGTTTCAAGTTACAACACGATAGTAACATAAGTTAAATTGTTCCATCTAGATATTTTATCCTTACTAATTACATAACCCTAATAGTAAGACATGTCTTCAGGATTTTACCCCTCCACTTTTTCATCATTTTTTGTTTTTTCAAAAACATCTTCCTTGTTTTGTTTTCCACCTCCAACTGTGTTTTTTGGATCATCACTTTTTTCACCACCATCTGACCTAGGGTCAGCATCAACCACTGAACCAGATCCTGCATCTAAGAAAAAATTTAATTAGATATAATATTATTTCTTTGTAAATGAACATTTGAGTATTTATAATTGAACATTATACCTGTTCTAGGCAATCCTTCATTATCTGACCTAGTGTCAGCATCAAATTTTGAACCAGTTGCTGCGTCTAACAAAAAAATACAATTAATAATGAATATTTCTTGTTTGTAAATGAACATTTTACACTTTTTAATTGAACATTATACCAGTTCTAGAAAATTCTTCAATTCTTTGTTTTGAAGCTGCTGAAGTTTTACCCACATCCTTTACTCCAGTTGTATTATAAATCATCATTTTGGAGATACACTAAGTTAATAGTATTTACACATAATAATTAGAAATGAACATTTCTACTTAAGTTTATGTACATTATTATTAAATATATGAACATATTACCATTTGTTGAAATTATTGGTTGTTCAATTATATCACCAAGTGTTGAAGAGGTGGGCCCTGTTTCTGTTTAGGACAATTTAGACCACAAATTTAGAATTTTTCATATAAAAATTAGGATATATAGTCTCTTTTAGTTAGAATTTACCAATGGCTGGAGAAGGTGGAGTCAACCCCAAGCTGAAAGCTTTTCTGATGTCATATTCTTGTTCTTTTTCCTTTCCCTTTTTGGTTAATTTCTTCCCAGCCATTTGCTTCTTAGTTGTTTGCTTTTCAGACCCTTGCATCAGATTCTTCTCAGCTTGTGCAAGTGCATTTAGGAAATCCTCACTGCCAAAGAATTCTTCATCTTGGCTTAGAATTGATGGTTCCCTAGCTGCCACCTTTCCTAAAACTTCATCAACTTTTTTCACCAAGTCATTTCCAGGGAAGATATCCTTTGCCCTCACCAATTTTGAAGAAAGCTTTGACAGGTTTGAACAAGTTGTTTTTACCAGAGAAACAAAATCATCCATAAAAACCTATATGAATGAATATTAAAAATTATGCAGTTGAACATTTCAGATTATACAAATGAACATTTATGTTAACAAAAGTGATCATTTTATAACCTTAGGACTTTCTTCAACTTCTGCAGCAATCCTTGGTAGAATTTTCCCTCTCCCAAATCCCAATTCTAATTTAATCTTCAACCTCTCAAGAACCATGTCTCTATTCCATGCAGATATAATAGGAATTGTTCTTGGAGGCCTTTTGTCTAACCTCTGAACTCTATCAAAATAGAAGAACTACAAGAAAAAAGAAAACATGGAACATAACATAAACAGTAAAAAAAAGTGCATTTATTTAAATTTAAATGAACATTTTGTATCTAAGAATATACCATCAGAAATTGAAGAGGGCCTTTGTAGAACCCCTTGCCTTGCTGCTTTCTCCAATCAACATGACATTTGATAAGTGAGTCATATACAAACTGACACCAGTTCAAATTTTTTATGTTTTCTTTGTCCATCATAGAATAAAGAAATTTGAAATGGCATTGATTGTTTGATACACATTTCATCAAGCAGTTCACAGCCACTGCTAAAAAGTTAGTAATGAAATGTTCACTTGGTGGTCTGTTGTTGGTGAATTTATCATTTATGTATCCATTCACAATCTGCAAACAAAATGAACAAAACATTTATACTTTTGATCATTTAATGTATTTAAAATGAACATTTAAAACTGATCATACCTGACTCACTGATGGAGTTTTTCCTGACCATGATTTTCTCCATTTCTTCAGAAATTCTGCATACTCCTCACTAATTTTATCAGACTTTGGCTCAACAATTGTAATTTCTCCTGTAGGCAAGCCATAAACTACCCTAACATCCTCTACCTCAATTTATATTTTTTCATTCTTTGGTAGTTCAAAACACTAGCTATTTTCTTCAAAACTTCCCAATAACCAGTTACAGAATTTTTGATCAAGTTGAGGTAAACTAATGTCAAGAAGTGATCCTAACCCTATATCAACAACTTGTTGTTTTTGGGTAGGTGTCATCTTTTTTATCCATGCAATGAACTTCACATGTCCTCCTCTCTTTGAAGATTTCTCTTCCTCAAATTCATCTTCCTGAATTTCCTCAACTTCATCAGTTTCTATTGCTTGAACCATTTCAGTTTTCATTTTCTTTTTTCCCCTACCTTCAATCTTTCCTTCATCGTACAGTACCATCTTTTGCTCCTCCTTTTCAACCTTTGCCTTCACTGAATTCCCTTTCTTTGCCTGTTTCTTCATTGGCTTTACTTCTTCCTCTTCCTCCTCTTCCTCCACCTCATAATCATCCTCACTGACAGGCTCTGCTTCTGCTTTATAAACTTACTCTTCACTATCATCATCACTGTCAGTAGAACTTTCATCAGTAGGATCTTGAGAGGGTTCATCTGATGGTACTTCTTGTATTTTTTTTCTCTTTCCAGCATTTCTCTTGGCAGGACTGACATCTGAAAATTAAATATATAATTTTGTTTAAGTATTGAAAATGTACAGTAAGCAAATGATAAAATGAACAAAATTGTTTTCTCAAATGATCATTCTATATATAGAAATTGAACATTTATAATATATCATTATATACCTGCTTTTCTTTTGCCAGCAACCTTAGAAGTTTTCTTCACTTCTTCTGGAGTTTTCTTTTTCCCACCTATATATTGAAATTGAACATTAATGATATACCATCATAAATGATCATTCTATACATTAAGATTGAACATTTACCCTTTTTGCCTTGGTCTGGAGGATATTCAGCAGGAGCACCTGCCATTTTTTTTTATTGGAGTAGGTGCTGGAGGTGGTGCATCAGCTTCCTTTTGAATAGGAAAAGTCCTTGTAGACATTCTTCTCTTCTGTCCTATTTTTGCGGTTTCTTTAGCAGGTTCAACATCCTTCTTCAGGCTTCCCTTTTCAGATTCATCTAACAGAACATCTATTGTTTTTAAAAAAATTTATGTTAGTATATTTGAAAGTGTAATATTTATTGTGAAACAGAAAAGTATTATGATTACCTTGGCTCCTTGTAATTCTACCACTTGGCACAACAACAAGACTTTTGTTTTTGTTTTTCCTTGCAACCATTTTGTATCTTGTTTTCATTTTGGCTGACTGATCACTTTTTTGTGATGATGGAGCTGTCTCCTCACTAAGTTTTGTGGAAACTTTATCATCATCTTGATCTAGAAGATAAGTTTCATCCTCAATTTGAACAAAATCAGGTGCAATTTGTGCTGCATATGAAATGATCAAATATAAAAGATTAAATAAACATTTATTTAAATTGGATGACAAATGTTTACTATATACAATATAAATGAACATTTCAGATAATGAATATGTACATTTTCCACTATTTACCTTTCGGATCTGTTGTCTTTGTAGACTCATCTTCCACTGTTTTCTCTTTAGGGATTTTCTCCTTTTCAGGCTCTTTTTTCCCCTCTTGTCCTTCTATGAAAATTTAATTAGTTAATATTTATATATTTTTTTAATCTTATTGAACATTCAATGTTATGTAGATCCAATATGAACATTTTATGTAATAAAAATGTACATTTATAAATTTTTACCTTCTACATTTGTTGTCTTTGGAAAGACATCTTCCACAGTTTTGTCTTTAGGGCTTTTCTCTTTTTCAGTCCCTTTTTTTCCTTCTTGTCCTTCTATTAAAATTTATTTAGTTAAAATTTAATTTTTTTAATCTTATTGAATATTTAATATTATGCTTTTCCAATATGAACATTTTTTGTAATAAAAATGTACATTTTAAAAATTTTACCTTTTCCCACAGTTTTCTCTTCTATTGGCCCTTTTTCTTTCTTTTTTGCTTCACCTTCAAAAGTAATAGTATTGTTAAAATTGATATTTATGACTATTAAACAAAAATATTCAATAAATATGATCATTTACCTTTCCTGATTTCCTTGCTTGCCTTTTCCATTCTTTTGAGATTTCTCATAATTCTGATTGTCGATTCTTTGTACTTCCTGTAAATGTATGATATTGTTATATAACTTTGAAATATATTCATTAATTGATTAAATTAATTCAATTATTTAAATTTAAACATACTTTGGGTTTCTCTCTATGTCTAAATGTATTTCTTGCATCTTGTCCTTTAATGTTGTTATGCTTGAATCATCTTTGGGTTTTCTGATATTTCATTAAAAATATGTTTGAATTTACAATTTTGATTAGTAAATAAAAAAATGAACATATAACTTATATTACTATTGGCCATGAGCAAACTTTTTTGTACTGATTTTCAAATGAACATATAGTCTATCTAAATTGAACATTTAAGTTTTCTTACTTTTGGCCAAGACTATTCTTTACTGGATTGCTTTGCACTTTTGGTTGAACTTCTTCTTGCTTGCTGAAATCAATTTTAAGAAATACTTTTAATAAAAAATGCACATAAATTGTACACAAAATATACTATTATAAAAATGAACATTTGTTTATATAAAATTGATCATTAGTATACCTTTCATCCCTACTCTCTTTGTCAGTTGTGTTATGTGTAGCAGACACACTAGGAATGTTCTCACTTTGTTCACTTAAAAAAAACAGAATTATTTTATATAATATGATATTAAAGTATGAACTAATTTATACAATGAAGAAGATAATTAGTTATTTTGGTATAAAGCTTTTATACCTTATTGTTTGATTTGTCTCTGGTGGTCTTGATTTTGACATAACAAATTTCACTCAAACCTTTTTTTTTCACTAAAATTTTAAGAATTACCTAATAAGTTTGGTATATATATACAATGTACAATAATTGAATGTAAAAACAATTATTTTATACATATAAACTTACTTGCTTAAAGTGTATCTTTCATAACTATTATCATATTCATTTTGTTCTATAACCTTCTTTAGAGTTAATGGTTCAGATTTCCCATCTCTAAATTGAAGCAAGTGTATCATTCTAAATGGCACATCACTACATTATAAATTAATTACATGACATTAGTTTGAATGCATATCACTGAAATGATTATTATCATATTTATATATGTGCATGATGATTTAATGAAATGTATATTTGTTATTTAAATCTCAATGAATACTCAAATGAACAAATATACATATATGATCATAATTATATCTATAAATGAACATTATGAGTATCAAATATGATCATATACAATGATGTTTCAATGAAATGTACTTTTGTTCTTAAATCTCAATAAATACTCATATGAACAAATATAAATATATGATCATAACTATATCTATAAATGAACATTATGAGTATCAAATATGATCATATACAAATAACATATTAAACAAAGATAAAACCAATTTTTATCAAATACAACTAGCATATTAGACATGAACATAATATATTCTGTAAATGACTAATTACCTTGGTAGTGGAGACATTGTTAAATCCGTACCAATTGACTTGTCAATATCTTTTAAAAGTTCCGGATCTACAATTGGATCATTTTGGCGGTTTTTTTTTCAATTTGTCTACTCTTGACTGAAGAGGTACATCATCATCATCGTCTCTGTTTTATTTAATAAATTGTTAATGTTTTAGTTATTTTCAGTAAAATCTTAGAACAATTACTACAATCGCAAAAAATTTTAACAAAAATTAGGTTTTACAAATAAATTCGCTCTATAATCTTCATCGCAAGAATATGAACAAATTAGGTTTTACAAAAGTTAGGGTTCATACATATCTTCAGAAATTTTCAACAAATTACTCGTCTCTGAAGTATTCTTCTCCAAAATCATACTACAATTGCAAAAAATTGAATAAAAATTAGGTTTCACACATAAAATCGCACTATAATTGTCATCGAAAGAAAATGAACAAAATTACTTACTCTTTAGATACATTTTGCTCCGATTTTGCAGTTTCTTCTTGCATGTTCTTCTCTGTAGTGGTTTTTTGCAAAATCGCACTACAATCGCAACAAAATGAACAAAATTAAGGTTTCACACATAAAATTGCACTACAATCTCAAAAAATGAACAAAACTAACGAAATTACTTACTCTTTTTGTTGTGATTGTTTAATTTCTTCTCGAATATCAGACATTTGAAGCAATTTTGGAGTATTTTGAAGCAATTTTTCAGTGATTTAAATTGAAATTTGTTCCGATTCGTTGGGTTTGATGAGAGAGAAACTCTAGAGAAATGAAGAAGATGGTGTTTAGAGAGAGAGAATGATTTGAAATTGATTTTTTTTTTTTTATGTATATATATATGTGGGGTAGGGGAAGTTAGTTATGCAGTTACTGTGGTTATTGTGGGGAGTGGGTAATTATTGTGGGTTAGTGGAGGGGGTGTGGGTAGTAACTCTAAACGCTGCGTTTAGAGGGAGTGTAGGTTGGGCTACCTACACTAGGGTCTAGGGTATACCAATTAACTAAATTATAGTGTACATGTATGTGACCAAAACATATGCTAATTGTAGCAAATATAAAAGTAAACATGAAACATGAAATATTAACATAAATAAGGCAGTCCATTATTATAATCGTTGATGAAAGCGAATTGTCACTTTCACCAGCAGCTGTGTTGGATCAAAAGTATGAAAGTTGGACTAATTATTTTGTTGGTTGACATGATCATATCTCATATTATACTGATTATTCGGTTATTCCCATCAAATTAAGCCAGGCCACTTTGACTAGATTAAATTATAATCCTTCTTTAAAAGTGCTTAGTTGATTTTAACATTAAATTACCATAATTTTTTTAAAGTATGCAATTAGAGATATGGCTGGTTAAAACATGCACGTTAGAAACCACAAAAAATGCAAATGAGTAGAACAAAAAAGAATGGAGAAAGTAGTTATAATTTATAATTATAAATACTCTGAATATGATCCTAAATTTGCTCAACCTTACTACACTTAATCATACGTTCGTTGTTGATAATTTTTAAAATAATAAATTATTTCTATATATATTTTTAGTCATTTTACGCAATATAATACAATTACTTTTTTTTTTTTTGAACAGATATAATACAACGAACTAGTTTAATGCCGTGCATTGCACGGCTTAAATAGATATTATTTGTTTAAAATAGTTGTCAATATTATGTATTTGAAAAAAGCGTGATAATAATCTCATTTATTAATTTTGAAAGAAATATTGTGTTTGTTTAGTTTTATAACTTAGGAGGAAAAAAATAGAGAAAAAAAAATTATGATGTCAAAAATAATTTTGGCGGGAAAATTTTTCATAAGAAGTCGACAAGTGTTTCTTAATGAAGTCAGCATCTTTTATTTTAGTTATAGTTAATGGATTAGTTAACATCTAGCAACTAGTAGCTAATTCTCAAAAGAATTCTAGGCCAAAATACACTTCATATTAATGTATATAGAAAGTGGTCCGATCCAAATAATTTGTACAATTGTTTATATTCCACTACCTAGTAATGGAATGAGTAATAATTTATGATCCCATGTGTATAAATTCAGGCATTCCGATTTGTAACACAAGGTGACAACTGCCATCAACCAAAATCATAAGTTTTCAGCAAAGCAAATTATGTCTTTTGGCTTCAACCTTACTATATTTTTATATTTTGGCTTGTGACCCACCAAAAATTTATTAATAATTATTAATTAGGGTACAATTTTGCTTCATAATTCAGTATGCTTAATTCTTGAGGTCGTAATTTTCACTCTTGATCATGATCACTTAAGTAAATTATGAAGATAAAAGAGAGGAAAGAATATTTGGAACAAACTTATGGAGTAGATATGCTTTATTATTTGCTTGTTATAAAAAGCAAAGGCATCAAAAGCTGTAAATTTTCAAAGATAAGTTTAATTACTTGACTAATTAAAAGTCTAAACTCTCTCTTTTTTGCCATTTTTCAACGGAAATTTTGTGTAGAACTACCCTAAAGATAGGGTCATTTGTGAACAACTACCCATTTTTTTTTATTTGTTTAGAACTATCCATAAGTTTGAAAACATTTGGGTAGTACTATCCATTAACATTTTTCGTCCAATTAAGACGTTATCAGAGCTCACTTTTTTTCACTTTTGCCAACCAATAAACTTTCCCAATTTGTATAAAGGTTTTAATTTACCTTAATTAACTTAATTAAGGATTTAATCATAATTTATTTTAGGGTTCATGAGTGTAGTATTATTTGGGGATTTTAATTTCTAAGGTTTTGGGGTTTAATTGAATTGGGTTTTTTTTGCTTATTTTAACATTAATTGACCATTGTAATTGAAAAAAGTAAAAAATTGGGCCGAAATAACGTTTTAATGGGACGAAAAAACGTTAGTGGGTAGTGCTACACAAACTTTTCCAAACTTACGGGTAGTTCTAAACAAATTAAAAAAAAATGGGTAGTTGTTCACAAATTACCCTATCTTTAGGGTAGTTCTAGACAAAAATTCCCTTTTCCAACTAATGTTTTTGTTTGAATTTTAGGTAAGAAAACAACATTAAATCTAAGATTGTGTTCTTTCTATTAAGATGGAATAACTATATATATACTTAACTATAGTTTAGATATCAAGATGGATTAGCTATACTTAACTATATATAGTTTAGCTATATAATTATAATTAAATACTACATACATGATACATCTAACATTGACTTGTGCTTATTTCGTACTGTATGATCAACAGATCAAGTCATATTAGATGGGTTGGTAGAAAGGTTGAAATATTTGAGACAAGACTGCAACCTTAATTAATTAGCTTTCTAATATATATAGTGGTAAACTTGAATACTATTACAAGATTCTATATAAAGATTTTGACGTATGATGTAGTTCATATAGTGTGTGACTAGAGTAGTTTGGTTCATTGGGGAATTGTAAATTCCCATGAAATTTCATTTTGTGGGAAATAAATTTCATCATTAAAATTATGGGAATTCAACAAATTTGTTTGGTTATGAATGGAGGAAGTAAATTCTCATGGAAATTTCATTTATCAAGGGGGGATAAGGTAAGTGAATTCCTATATTTTGTGAGAAGCCATCACTTTTTTGTGTCAACCAAACAAGAGGGTGAAAATGAAATTCATGAGAATTTTAACTTCTCGCAAAATATTTAGCCAACCAAACAAAGCATAAGTAATAATAATCACGTAATGTATGACTAAATGATAACGTCAATGCATATATAACTATATAGGCAAGCTAAGCTAATATACCGTATGCGAACACAACACACTTTATTGCAAAAGATTTTGACATTTAATCATCAAGTAATTCCTTTAATCTATTTTAATTACAAGGTTTGAAAACTTACACGATTCACACACTCATTGACTGTCTTTGCATTGTAATATAAAATCGTTACATTCATTTCAATATGTAAGAAATCTGCCTTGAATCGGTAATCAAGTTGGTATGCGGTAGTGTAGTGCATTGTACACAATTGTATAGTTTGTGTTGCTACGTACTCTTCAGTATAGATGGCCATGTGGTTCATGGTATATGGTCGTGTAGTTCTGCTATCACAAGACATGTCACACGGTCGTGTGGTTCAAGGTACACAGTCGTGTGGTTTTGGTCTATGTGATTATTATTAGGGCTTTGGCCTAAATTTAGTTTCTTTTTGGAGAGTTTGATATATACCCTTAGGGTTACTCCTAGCTAAATCAGTTGAGTGATTATTCATAAATCTGATAATCTTTTGTGTATTTTTCATCTGTGAGATTTGAGAGAGATAACATTAGAAGTCTAAGATACAATCATTCTATTTTCCGTGATTGATCTCAAATATGTTCTGAAGTAATATGTTTTCCTCAAGATTAACAAAACTATTACTCCCGCCTGCTTGCAAATGTAGTCAATGCATTGTTGGTGAACCACGCAGGTAAATCTCTGCGTCTGTGTTTTCTTGTTAATTCTACATTCAATATTTGTTCTTTTAATACATCTGTTATAACACAACATACAATCAAAATATAATATATCCTAAAAACGTGATAGAGATATTATCAATGTTTTAAAAAGTGCATTGGTAATTAATTAAGCTAAAAACTCCCAATGTTATAATTTAGAAAAATAAATAAATAAATTAATAAAGAGAGAATGATTTAATTGAAATCTAGAAGAGGCGACTTGGGAGAAGATAGGTTACTTTGCCTTGGCTTCTCTATGAGGGCAATTTGAGCTCAAATGGATTAGAGATTTGAGATAGTGCACATAGCCACTTATACATTGACATACATGATACATCTGATACATGCCCATGCATGGTGATTGAGTGTGTGACAAATATAAATGATGGCGTCTTGTCGTCTGCCCTTAAGGCCAATAGTCTTGTTGTAGAGAATTCTTAATTATATTACTTTGGTTTAGACATCAAGATGTATGTCATTTTATGTTCTCTTTTTCTACAAGGTTTGCAACAACCAAAAGTTTTAAAGTTTCATTTTTTATCTCCAAATGTTTCATGATTTTCATTCATCCTTTTCACAAATTATTACCACTTAGGGCATGTTCTGATTTACTAAAAACAACTGAACTAGAGCTGAATTGATTAGAGCTGAGTTGAACTGAACTGAATAGAGCTAAAATGAATTGTTTATGAGAGCATAAAATTAAAAATTGAATTAACTGAACTAATTGGTGTTGAACTGACTGAAATTAAGCACCCCCCTCTCTTTAGTGAGATTTAATATTTTTTTTTGGGGCAATGAGATTTAATATTTATAATTGTGGATGATAAAATTTATTGAAAGACACTCCTTCCTCATGCAACCCTTATCTCTCAAATTTATCAATCTATGTTACCTCCATATAAGAGAAGAATACAATGTTATTATAACAAGATTTAATTTATGAAAAACTTTTGTATATACCAGGTTTACACTAATATTAGTGTACATCGAGGCATCGAGCAGTATAAGGATAACTTATAGCTAATTTTAGGGTAACTTTTTGCCTTTTTTTTTAGTAACATTAAACATCATACAATTTTTATATAAATAGACAACAAGAAAAGTTTTATAAAGGTAATTTAATTACATTCAATCACTTGTAATTGTTTTTTAGTCATTTAAAATGTGATTCTTTACTAATAAAGCGTTGATAATTTTTATTTGTATTGGTTACTTTTATGCATATTGGGGTAACTTTTATTCATTTCAGGGGTAACTTTTGATTACTTTAGCCTATCTTTATAATGGATGTACAATAATTATTATACACCCGATTTTTTAAAAAGT